GCGTTTCTTGAAATAAAATAAATTGTGTCAACCACTCTCTCTTTTTTTTTTTTTTATATATTTTATGATTTTTTACAGAGAGGAAGGGAGAGAGATAGAAAGTCAGAAACATCGATGAGAGAGAAACATCGATCAGCTGCCTCCTGCATATCCCCCACTGGGGATGTGCCCACAACCCAGGTACTGCCCTTGACCGGAATCGAACCTGGGACCCTTCAGTCCGCAGGCCGACGCTCTATCCACTGAGCCAAACCGGTTTCGGCAATTGTGTCAACTTTTCAAAATTGTATTACACAGAACATTTTAAGTTCTTTTTAAAAAATATATTTTTATTGTTTTTTTTTGTTTGTTTTTTTTTTTTTTTAGAGAAAGAAACATTGATGAGAGAGAAACATGAATCAGGTGCACGGCCCCTACTGGGGAGCAAGCCCAAAACCTAGGCATGTGCCCTGACCAGGAATCGAACCTGTGACCTCCTGGGTTGACACTAGACCAGCCGGGCTTAAATTAGTTTTTTAAACTTTTTGGCGTGTGGGTGTGACTAGTTGAGTTAAATATTTCTCAGACGCTTTTGTACGTCATTTCCTCCGTGAGGAGCTTTCCCGTCTGACCTCGCCGTCAGGGTGGCGGAGGGCCTGTGCGGGGCCGTGCGGGCTGCATCTGCAGGAACTCAGGCAGTCAGTTAAGTTGACAGAAGATGCAAGTACTCGTCTACCTTTTCCCCATTTTGTAAGACAGGGTCCCGTGGGTTTTAACAATATTATCCATCTTTGTTTCCCGTTGTTGTTTATCCTAAATGACTGGAGTCATTTCCAGTCCTGACGCCCTTGTCTTCGTCCTGTGTTAGAGAGCCTTGCTCCCCAAGTTCCTGGTCCGAGGACATCTGAACTCAACCAACTGCGTCATCACGCAGCCGCTCACGGGTGAGCTGGTGGTGGAGAGCTCGGAGGCCGCCGTCCGGAGCATCGAGCTGCAGCTGGTCCGCGTGGAGACCTGTGGTGAGGGCCCTGCACTGCCTCCTGCGCGGTCACACCTGCTAGGGAGCCTCGGCCCCAGTGACGGAGGGAGGACGGGCTGTGAGGGAGGGGACTCTCGGGAACCCTGGCGAGTGGGGAGTGGGGAGTGCGTCCACGCAGGTTCTCATGGTCACAGGGCGTCCTGATCGCTGTGGGAGGCTCGTTGGACGGTCCTGCTTTCTGACCACATGGTGCTCGCCCCTCCCCCAGGGTGTGCAGAAGGCTATGCCCGGGACGCCACAGAGATTCAGAACATTCAGATCGCCGACGGGGATGTTTGCCGGGGCCTCTCGGTGCCCATATACATGGTCTTCCCCCGGCTGTTCACCTGCCCCACGCTGGAGACCACCAACTTCAAAGTGGGTGAGTGCCAGCTCCCAGCCCTCAGTCCTGAGACGGGCGTGGCCCACAGTAGGGGCTGCCCGTGCCCGGGACAGACACGCGGTCTGCTCGGGTCAGGCACAGCTCAGAGCGCTAGTCCTTCCATCACTCCACGGAGCTCACAGAGCTGCCATGCTGGGGCGGGGGTCCACCGCCAGCAGTCCCAGCTCCTGAGGGCACTGCCTTGTCACCCAGGGAAACGCCAGCAGCCACGTTAGTGTGGGCCAGGCCAGGGAATGGTGGGGCCAGGGGGGACGGTGTGGGCAGGGGCAGGGGACGGTGTGGCCCAGGGGCAGGGGACCAGTGTGGGCGGGGCAGAGGACAGTGTGGCTGGGGCAGGGGACGGTGTGGCCAGAGGCAGGGGTCGGTGAGGCTAGGGCGTGGGATGATAAAGCTGACGGGAACTAGCACAGCAGTGGACAAGCCGGCGCTGTGCATGAGGTCAGGGCGGGGACCAATCCGTGACAGTTCTGTGGCCATTAGTCACTTGAAACCTGTGTTTGTGGACAAGCTTCTGCCCACGGCCGAGGCCCCCAGTGAGGAGGTGTGAGGCCTGGGAGCTTCTGCTGCTGTGCCGATTCTCTGAGCAAAGGGGACCCAGTCCCTAAGGCCATTGCGTCCTATTAACGTCACATCCCCCCTAAATCTTGTGAGGTGCGTTATGTTTAGTCCAGAGAGCATCTTTGGTTTTAAACTAGACCATGATTTTACTTAAACCAATTCCAAATAACGTAACTTAAGGGCGTTTTTATCACCAGAGTGAGCGTGTGCTGTTGGTTGAAAGAGGGAGGCTGTCGGCCGCACTGAATCCCGGGCCTCTCGGGCCTGTCCTTTTTCTTCTCAGAATTTGAGGTTAATGTCGTGGTGCTGCTTCAGGGCGACCACCTCATCACCGAGAACTTCCCGCTGAAGCTCTGCCGGATGTAGCCAGAGGGAGGATGTAGCCGGAGGGAGCACGGAGGTGAGGGGCGGGGCCCCTCCTGGAGCCGGAGCCGGAGCCACCGCAGGCCCATCCTCAGGGATTCTGGGGCAGATGTGGACCTGACCCCTCGGATCCGGTCACCTCCTTCCTCGTGTCCTCCACGCTCCTGCTCCCAGCGGCGCCTGGTCAGTCCTTTCCTTTGAAAGTCATCGGGACTTCCCAGTGTTCTTGGCAAGATCATTTCCTGTGACTCCCGCCTTCCGGCTGCTCCTTAGGGACTGAGGACATGTCTGACCACAGTGTGAGCTTCGCTGGAGTCAGGTCCTGGGGACCTCAGGGGCCAGGCCTGTCTGACCGGGTCGCGACGTGGCCGGGACTGCGAGCCCAGAGCCACTGCTGACAGGGACGGGGAGCTCCTGGCTGGTGGCGCCCGCAGATGCGCTCCGGGGAGGGGTGCCGAGTGGCCTCCACTGCAGGTGTGGGCATGTATTCCGCGCTGCCCTGTGGTTCTCCCACATTTTTCATGAGAACTTTAAAGTGTTCTTGCTGTCATGGGGGTGAGGGAGTTGGGTGACAATGGCTGAAGTAGTCAGTCTCAGGACCTGGTATGAAATCTGATGCCACCATATTCCCAGAATGCACTTCCATGCCAGCCTGTGTGAGGGGCACATATGTCCATGCCTGGTGTCGGATGCACTGGCTGGTGCCGGGATGGTGCCCTGGACCAAGGAACCCGGCCTCTGCGACCTCCAGAGACCTGTGTCAGCCAGACCCCTCTGGTTCAGGGTGTTTCCCCCCCCCCCCCCCCCGTCCTGCATTCTTCCCACCAACACAGTGAACAGTCCTCAGAAGTAAGCCCTGCGCTCTGCAGGCCGCCTGGCCTTCCCTGCCAGTCCTCCCTCCTGGACAGGCTCGGGCCGGCGGCCGTGGTCCCCGCAGCCTCTGGTGACGAGAGAGGCTGAGGGCCAACAGCCGACTCAGGCTCGGCTTCGTCGGGGCCGTCGGTTCCCTCAGAGGACACTTCTGCTCAGTCTCCTTTGATGCTCACACGACACTAACAATGACCTGTCTTCGATGATGTGTTCACAGTGGCAGAAAACAGAGGCTATACTTTTTGGTAAATTTCAAAGGTAGAAATCATGTTTAATGAAGAAAAAAAAGCTAAATGAAAATTTTGAAAAATGGTTTGGGATGTGTATTGCTATATAATTTCTTTACTAAACCAGTTTATGGATACAAATATAACAAGTGCTGTCCTTAGGGAGTAATTCTTACCTGAAGAGGATCCACAGCCCATTTCCTTCTGCCCAGGCGTCCCAGGCAAGGGCCTCCGGCTAGACATTCCCTTCTTGGCCAGACACCTGCACTGTGGTTGCCAGGGAAACGCGGATGTTTGGGTGTCCCGGACAGCAACCACCTGCTGCTGCCCAGGCTGGCGCTGGGCATCCACTCTCAGGCTCAGGGTTGTCAAGTTCTCCCGTTCGGGCTCGAGGAGAGGAGGAGGAGGAGGAAGGGGAGTCGGAGCCGTGAGTGCACTGTTCTGGAAAGGCCCACGTGGGCGGAGCACATTCTGGCCGTCAGAGCTCCAGCAGGATTGGGCTCAGTTCCCAGCCACGCTGAGCTCCAGGGCAGGCGGAGAGGAAAGCAGAATAAAATGTCAAAGCCGAAGCATCACGCCTGGGTTTGTCGAGTCCCTGTCCGAGGCCCGCTGTCCGAACGCGGGGGGACGGAAGCTGACTGGCTCCCCGGGGGAGTCCACGTCCTGAGCCTGTGTCACTGGCCCTTTGAAAACTTCGGGCTGAGCTGCCCCACGGCCAGTGGTGGTTGGGCTGTAGCAGGTCACAGGCCCTCCCGCATCCCTCCTGCTCCCGCTTCTGGTTCAGAAACGGTTGTATTGCCAAGGACCCCTGCCTGCCTGGTGAGGGACTTAACTTCCTGTTCCTTTGCCTCTAGGTGTGGTCATGTGACAGGTGAGGGGCTAGCAGTTGATGACAGAAAGGCCATGTCCCCCACCTTCCTGCCTGTCCCGGGGAGGGGCCACCTAATGCGGCCCAGTTCCACCTGCGCCGAAGCCGTCCCCTCACCCTGACCTGTCACTGTGTCCTGTTTCCCCCCCCACGGCATCTGTCACCTCACCTGTTGAGAGGCACCAGGGCTCTGCTCCCCCTGTTCACAGTCCGGTCCCCTCAGTGTGGATCCGCTGGATCAAACAGGTGAAGTCTGGACACGGAGGGAATGTGTGCAGCTGGATCCAGCTTAGGGATGACGTGGTGATTGAAGACCCAGACGTCCCAGGCAAACCATGTTCTAGTCCCAAATTCCTTGCTCTGAGTATAAGTGTCAGGGAATGATCTGAACCCACTCAGAGCACGAGAACACTGGAGAGTGAGTGACCCCCCAGCAACTCCTGAGGGTTTATTCCTGCTTCACAGCCGAGCGCAGGAAAGCCGAGGCCTGCCCCGTCCACGTCTGTTGACCTGTGGCCATCCTGCCGCCCCTCCAGGGAGAACTGGAGTCGATGGCCATAGCCACCATGAACCACGGCCCTTCAGATCCCAGCTGGCATTCAAAAAGGGGGAAGAAGTTTGTGAAGGACCCTGGGAAGGACTGTCTACCCTCACTTATGCTGGGGCTCCGGATGGGAGATGAAACATTGCAAAGCGAACCATTGCCTGGGAAAATGCTCCCTTTACAATATAAATAATTCCGTAACCACGAGACTCAAAACAAGCCACCTGAGTAGGAAAAAACCACACGGGGGTCTGAGGTGGAGGTGGGAGTAGGTCTCCCAGGCCTGTGCTCTGCACTCCGACCACTGGGAGCTGTTTATGTCTGAGACTGAGCAGTGAGTGTTCAGAGAATGCAACTTTACTCAGAAACTCAAGGCACTGAATTTATAGAAGCAAAGCTGATCCGACTGCACTTACACAAAATGTAGTCAAATTCCTAGAGCAGGTCATTCATAAGAAAGGGAAAAGGCAGACCACGCGTTGACAACTCAGTGAGGAGCCTGGATGCCTGGATGCCCTCCTGTGAATGTTCTGGTGAAACGGGAATGCCTTGGCCCTGCCCAGTTGGCAGGATTCTAACTTGGTGGGGTGTTTCATCCCCAAACCCAGCCAGTCCCCCTAAAGCTTTCCGTGTAATATACAGCAAACACACTCTGCAGGTTTTAAGTCACTTGGGAGACTACAAAGACATAATTTGCTCCTGCTTCTTTAAGACACTATATTTGGGGGATCACCTGCTCAACCAAGACCAAGGGTACAGAGGTTTGCCTGTGTGGTCCCCTCGACAAGGCCCCGAGGTAGGAGCCTGGGGGACAGCAGCCCCAGAGAGGAGGCTCCGAGAGGCAGGGCTGCTGAGCAGGGCACCACGAGGTGGGGCGCCACCCCATTCTCGGGTGAGGACTAGCACTTCAAGACCAAGCCTCTGGGTCTAAAGTGACAGGAATGGGACGAGCTTTCTGTCTGCAGATGGGCAGCCCGGCCACCCAGACACGCTGCTGTGCTTGTGGACACACGGCAAAAAGGGTGAGCTCAGGATTCCCAGTGGAAAGGAGCAGAAAAATAAGTTCTTACATAAATTATTCTTTAAAAGTTTCAACATCCATATGCATTAAGAAAATCCAAATTCAGCCCTAACCAGTTTGGCTCAGCGGATAGAGTGTCTGCCTGCAGACTCAAGGGTCCCAGGTTCGGTTCAGGTCAAGGGCATGTACCTTGGTTGCAGGCACATCCCCAGTGGGGAGTGTGCAGGAGGCAGCTGGTCGATGTTTCTCTCTCATCGATGTTTCTAACTCTTTATCCCTCTCCCTTCCTCTCTGTAAAACAATAAAAATATATTTTTAAAAAAAGAAAACCCAAATTCAAAGCCCAATACATAAAAAAGATCACATTTAAGAAATGAGCTTTTCCTAAGTTTTTTACTACTATGTTCCTTTATATCTTACTGAAAATACGTATTTTTTAATTCATAGGAAATTTGCAACAATCAATTATATATTTTTGCCGCAAAGAAAGAGAAAATCTCAACCAAATTTTAACAAGTAGAAATTGCCCCAAACCCTATATACTCTCCTGTAGTGCAATAAAATTAAAAATTAATAAAAGGAAAATCAAATACAATATAAGCACTTGTAAATTATACAACATTCTTCAAAGCGGAAACCAAAACTTCATTCACGGGCCCTTTTAAACGTAGTGGAAACGTGCACACTGTACAGTGATAGCTTTGCACTATGGCCAGTGCTGCAGCCAGAGCCAAATTCATAGCCTAAAATGTTTTTACACCAGAGAGAATGAGAACTAATGAGTTTACATTCAAATTAAATGTTTTATAAAACAAGAAAAAAAAGGAAAGAATGATAAAAGCAGGAATTCATTTGAAAGCAAAAACATCATAGGAAAATGTAAAAATAAGAACATCAGTTGGTACTTTGAAAAGACTAATTCAATGGAAAGATCTTTAATAGAACAAAACAAAACACAGGAAGATGGCAGCACAGTTAAACACCTATACTCGCCACCTCCCACAACCACATCAAAATTACAACTAAAATACAGAACAACCATCATCCAGAACCACTGGAAAGCTGGCTGAGTGGAAGTCCTACAACTGGAGAAGGGAAGAAAGCAGCACACTGAGATTTGTAGGAGGCACAGAACTGGCTGGTCTGGCACCACATGTGCCACTTTTTTAATTGGGAGGGAGACTGTCTCTGCAGAGGCCAGCCCAGAGGAGCAAAGGGTCCCAGCCCCACACCAGACCTCCAGCCCAGGGTCCCAGAGCTGGGAAGAGAAATCCCTACAGGCAGTAAGAACCATGGGCTAGAGAAACCAGTGCGGATTGGGGCTCAGTGACAGAGGCTGCTGGAGACCCAGCTGTTCCTCTTAAAAGACCAGCACCACGAACTGAACTTACAAGGTCCTGCTTCCTCTGAGCTCCAGCACTAGCGCGAGTCTCTGGGGAACACAGACACAAGGAGGAACTGGATTGTCTGGCATCAGGGCAGGAACTCGGGGGCGGCTTTCTCCCAGACAGAGGTTCTCTCAGGGATAATTTTTCTTATGCTGGGACCTCCCCAGTGTCAGTGTCAGACCATCCAGATTATAACTCTACACATCCATAAATGACACACTCAAGGGGCAGACTCAGTGAGTGCCAAAGCCCCACTGAAGCAAGTCCTGCTCCATAAGGGTGTCTCCTGCGCAGCAGCTCTCCCACTGTACTCGCAGCTGGTCCTCACAGCCAATTGGCCTGGAGGTCAATTCCTCCCAGGGATACCAACAGCAATCAAGTCTCAACTACAACAAGACTGTGCTCACAGCCCACAAAGGAGTGCACCTAGAGCTCCCAGCTCACGTGAGTGGGGAGGCTGAGCCACTGGGCCCTATAGAACACCTACTACACAAGGCCACTCTACCAACTCAAGGAGACACAAAAGCTCTACCCAATACATAGAAACTAACACAGGAAGCAGCCAAAATGCGGAGACAGACATGTCACAAATAGAAGAAAGCCAACTACTGGATATAGAGCTCAAAACCACA